ATAGGGCTTTTTGTATTTTCCTTTTAATCCCACTAGCGGGGTGTGACATATGGTGTTTATATTTTAAACCATATTGAAAATCCCAAATTAACTTTTGGTAATTTCCTTTCAAATCTGTTGATGTAGAACGGGAGGAGGTGGGGGAGATAATTTCAAAATCTGAAATTAATTGTAGATTTTGGTTGGAGAGATTTAACAATTTCAAATTTCAAATAAGAAGAATAATGGAAGGAAGAGGTAATTAAAATTCCCTAATCTTAGGCTATAAATTAGGGAATAAATAATTAGAGAAGGGGAGGGAACGTGGGCCGGCCAATGAAGGAAAGAGGGGAGTGGCCGCATTCAACATATATGAATATTTGCATTGAATGTTAATTGATAACTTCAAATCTGAATCAATTTTAGATTTGTATCAATTGAGGATGCTTCATAAAATAGATGAACTAATTAGAAAAGCATTTGAAATTTGGGTATGGAATTAATTAATCAATCAATTTTAGAATTGATTAATTAATTAAATAAAAAAACTTCCCAAAATTAATGTAATTAATAAGAGTGGATTTGAAATTCAAATTAGATTAATTCGAATTTGAAATCTTTTCAAATTAATGACATACTAAATAAGGAAAGAGGAGTTTTGAAAGAGTGATATTAGGCAAATAGGTGGTCAGCGGGTGGGTAGAGCTTTGTTGGATTTCGGCCAAGGGGAGGGAGGAGGGAGGGGCTGGTGTAGGACGATGGTGTGGAAGTGATGGGGTGAGAAGATCGGTGTCTTGGTGGAGGGCTTGAGGAGGTGACGGTTTAGGGAAATAAGGAAAAACAAAAAAAAAAGAAAAAAAAAAGATAGAAACGCGAGCCTTGGACTCTTCCAAAGACTAATGGGTGATGCATTGCCCTTCACCAATGGCCTTCAAGCAGCAAGCCCGGACCCATCCTGCGACTGGTGGAAACTACGATTCCCTCCATAAGGATTCTCACTAACGTTCTCCCAAAGAATAAAAGTGCAGAATAATTTTTATTATTAAAACTCCATCATGTCAATACAAAAGCAAGGGCCTCTATTTATAGGCCTTAGAAATTAAAAGACTAAAATAAAACGAATATGCCCCTAGGGCTTACATAAGACTACATCTTAAGTAAGAGTTATTGTGATTAGGATTGTTAGCTGGCAGCCCACTTTAGGCAGGTGGTAAGTCCAGAATGTATACACTCTCTCCCTGCACATTCTTTCTTCTAATCAAATCTAAAACTCTTCCAAATTCAGCATTAAATTTATAATCTAAAGCCTGATAATGAAAATTTAAATTAGCCCAAATATTTAGTTAAAATTGTATATAATTTTGAAATTAATCAGTCTTCATTTAAATCGAAAGTTTTCTCTTAGGAGATGTAATTAACAATAGGGGCTTGCCCCTATAGGAAGTCTAGATCCCAGAATAATCTAAACCCTACTTTAGTTTCCTTTCTAGGGTAGGGGAAAGATCTGTGGATGTAGATCACGCTTTATCCATATTTTAAAATTTATTTCCACAATCAAAGGATAGGTAGATAATTGATTTGCTTCCATAAGCAGGTCAAATATCTTCAATATTTGATTATGAAAATAAATTCACGATTCATTAGTCTAATCGGGTCGATAGGATAATATACTTATCATCCTTTAGGATGATTTGTATATTCTCAATGCTGCACCTGATTAGAAGAATGAATTATATTCTTTTTTCTTTCAGATCAATAGAAGGATATTAGTCTACCTCTCGGGGCGGTATGATGTCCGACTATATAGATTTGATTGAAAGAAAACACTAAAATATAAATAAAGCGAATCATGTGGGAAACTATTTATTTAAAATAATAGTGAAACTCTTTTTTTTAAAAAAAATTAATTAAAAGTCAAAAAAATATTTTCTCACAGATTTTTCTGGCGACTCCGCTGGGGATAAACTTCTCTCTTCATTTCAAATGAAGACTAAATTCTTTTTTAAAATTATATATAAGTTTAACTAAATATTTGGGCTATTAAATTTTCATATAAATTTTGATCTGTCTAGTCTGCTATTGCTTGGTCTGATGATTTGTATAGTCTTGTGGCTTGGGTTCTTACGATTGATTTATATTTGATTTCGTCTTTTCGATTTGATTTTCTGCCTCAAGTCTTTGATTTGTATAGTTTTATGTCATTCTAGTCTAGTTAGTCAAGCCTTGCCTGTCATTTGCTTGTTTAGTTTAGAAATCATATCAATGAATATCGATAGTCATGGTTTCCTTAGCTTTTCCTAAAAAGCTGAGCAGATAGGCCAACTGTCAGCACCAGCGAAGGTCTTAGATCTTGTCGAAGTGCTGTCCATTTCTTATCTGACATTTTGAGTGTCATTTGTATGTTTAGTTGCTTTTATATTTCTTTATAGATTTTGAATTTCTTGTATCCGATTTTGCTTCTCCGATTCTTGCTTATAGACTTAATCATTTCAATAAATTTTCTTTGATTTGTCTTGATTTTATTGATTTTATGATTTGGAGTCAATTTGATTGCATTTATATTTAAATTGTATAATTGTATAATTCCTTAAATCGAGTCAACCAAGCCTGTTTGTCATCTAAATGACATTTGCATGTTTATTTTGAGTCCACTGTTTGCATGATCATGCTCACGTGAGTGAGCATAACCCATGCTTACCCGGCTTCGTCCTAAAAGCCTAGCGAATGTCCACCCGGAACACAGAGGTTTGGTCCTAGGTCTGGTAGGGGTGCTGCCCATTTGTCGTCTGACATTTGCATATCACTTGTGTGATTAGTAGCTTAGAATTCTTTTCGAATTTATTCGAAATCATTTCTAAATTCCTGAATTCATTATATTCAATTTTTTTTCTGTATTTATTTTGGGATTCCGATGTTCTGTATTTGATTTAAGAGTTGATGTTGATTTGATTGTCCTTTTATTTAAACTGTATAATTGTAGAATTCCTTAAATCGAGTCAACCAAACCTGTTTGTCATTTGAATGACATTTGCATGTTTATTTTGAGTCCACTGTTTGCATAATCATGCTCACGCGAGTGAGCATAACCCATGGTTACCCGGCTTCGTCCTAAAGCCTGGCGGATGTCCACCCGGAACACAGAGGTTTGGTCCTAGGTCTGGTAGGGGTGCTGCCCGTTTGTCGTCTGACATTTGCATGTCATTTGTGTATCATTTGCATGCCTTAGAGTTTTCTCTTTTTCATTCGTATCCGATTTTTGACTCAATGCGTTGAGATCAGGCTTTAGATTATAAACTTCTACTCTATTCCCCCTTTTTAATTTCTTTTACTCGTGTTTGCTCATGTATACTCGAAGTTCTTAAGGACAAGGGTCCTTATTTAATGTCTTCTTAATCTAATGCTCATTTCCTTTCAAATCGTTAATCAAATATCTTACCAAATCTGCACTTTGTGACTGTATCCCTCTGGTGTGGGTCCTTAATTGAATCATTTCTTCTTAAATCTTCGATCTATTTAATCCTTATAATAAACTCCAGTTACATTCAAATCAGTGCAACTATCGGCAATCAGATTCTTTGCGTAGACTCAAACGGATCAGTTTTTGATTGGAATCACCTTTGAATTACAAAATATGTCTGGAAAATTAGTCTTCAACTTCAACATCACTGCTGCCCAATCCGCTGAGGGCAATCAGATCAAGTATGGGTCCGGATTCGATAATTTGCAAGTCACTTTTGGAGCACCACAGACTGAGATGGTGACTCCGGTAGTAGAATCAGTTCGATCAACTCCTATCCAGATTAATGTCGAGGGTGGGTCTGTAGCTGCTCCCGCAGCTACTAAACCCTCGGTGTTTACTCGTTTGACTTTTCCCCGATCAGCTACCGTGGCTAAGAGAAAGTCTCCTGTTGTTGCTGAATCCCCGATCTTTGGGAACTTTGAATTGGGATCATCCTCTGCTATCCCCGAGATCACTAAATCCCAACGTCGCAACATGATCCGTCGTATGAGGCGAAGGATTAAAAGAGCTGAAGCATCAAAGAAGAACTCTCTTATGTCCGCCGCAGCTGGGGCATCAAAAGATATAACTCCTGAAATCCCTGAGGCATATGTTAATTCCCCTCAATTAGCTGGTAGCAGATTCTATCCATTGTCTGTTGCGGCTGGGGAAGAGAGCATAGTGCGTATAGCACATTCCCTACCTACCCCATTCCAGGACGACCCGATTATCCCTTCTCTGTTTGAAAAGAAGCGAAAGTTTAAAACTTTACTGAATGGGCTAATCCGGGACTGCGCCACTGGTTATGGCCAGTCAAAGATAGAGTTTCTGAAGAGTATCAAGGATGTTATTTCCACTGAAGTACATCCTTAATCAAGGGGAGGGAGAGGAGAGTCTCCTCCTAAAAAGAGAGTACAGTTACAAGTGCACAATAAAATTCATAAACTAATACATCAATAATAAGTCTAATATAATGATAATAAAAAATAAAGTGCACAATCGTGGCCATAGACCGACGGCCACGCCTCTGGTAGACTCTCCAAGGTCGGATATCCTCATCACCTATGATATAGTCTCTCTAAATTGTTAAAATTGTAGAATTTCATCCTTCTTAAAGTACTTTCAAAAATATATTCATAAAGTACACATGATTCCAATCATTTGAAAGCTCAAAGGACATAAGGAGGCATAATAGTCTATTTTGTTTACATGATTTCCATCCTTTGTCAACCCAAATGCCTACTTGAGGAGGCATGAGACCTTAAAAGATCTTACAAAGGCTTTTCTAACACAAATCTTGGGTGCACCATCAGATGTTACCATTTTAAAAAAATATCAAGGCCAACTAATTAAACTAATTGATTGTACGTTTGGACTACTCATAATCCAAAAATAATGAATATCATCACTTTATTTTGTAATTCTGATTATCATGTAGAATTCAATCATAATGTAATGCTTTCTTGGTATTGTAAGTTGGGAAATTTTTTTGTGCACGAAGTTCTAGAAAATTGATGAATACCTTTTCTGAAAAATATGTGCAACAAAAGCAAGATTCAGATTTGGTGAACCGTCAACAATGTCTTTAGGAGTCAAGTATCTTTTACAACCCATTCTATCTGCATGTTCAAGGACAAGCTTCGCTCTTTCAAGAGGATCTTTCACATTCTTTCCAGAAAGCTTAATACTGTGTTCAGGTGCCAAAACATTCAGAAGGCATGCATAAGCCTCTGAATCCTGTCAGTGTGAAATGATAGTATTATCAGTAATTTTCAGCCAAAATAGAAATTTGTTTGCTAGCCTAAGAAAACAACTTGTTTGAAGACTCTTGTTGCACTGAATGAACAAAACATGAGTAGGAAAAGAATTTGATTTGATGTACCTGTTCCCAGGGGATGAAAACTAGGCATAAGCGTTGTAACTCTAACCACACAACATAATTCATCACTAGAAAAGGAAATTATTATAGCAGACATAACAAAGCGCCATCTAATCTTTTAAAGCTCATGATCAAATCTACTGGCACATTATCATAACATCCAAAATCCCCTCAAGTTGGGATGCAGTTGCAGAACTTCATAGAGATTAGAATATTCGTTTAACAACAGGTCAATTTAAATTACTATGTGAAAGCAAAAACCCTATCTATGATTAGATGTAGTTGGCCTGGCAGAAGAAATTTTTACCATGGAAAGCAAGAAAAGAAAGAAAAACATATAACTGCCAGAACATTCACCTTTTGTAGCAAGAGGCTTACGTGAAGAAACAGATGGACTCCCAGAAAACAAAGAGATGAAATAGGTTGATGCGGACATCGGAAGATCAACGGCTACGATCTGGAGTTATTTTATTTTTTGATGAGTCTTATGTACTAATTTATCTTATATTTCTGCTTTTCCCATTTTACTCTTAGGGGTGGTCATATGGTGTTGTAGCCCGAAGGGCATTTTAGTTATTGTTTCTTTTCTTTTCATAAGGCCTATTTATAGGCTAGTTCTCTTGTATTTTCGGATGATGATTGATTAATTAAAATTTTCCTATATTTCTTCTTCTTCTTCTTGTGTGAGCACTAGAGAGAAGGGAGAAAGAGCTCAAGGTGAGCAAGTGCAATACCCACTAGTCGTTGGAAGGGTCCACAGCTCGTGGTTAGTTTATTTCTATTTTATTTGTGTTTTTCTCTTCTTCCTTCCCCCACTCCACCCGCAGGCCCCTTCTTGCCCCTCCACCGCTGGTTGCTTAACCCCCTCCACCTAGTTCCACCACTTCAAGCCCACCCGCCACCCAAGCCCACCCAATCTGACGCCTAGCCACCCCTTCCCCATTGCCGCCGCCCCTCACATGGCTCCCCACCGTGATGATGACTACAAACATCATCATGGCTCCCTATGTTGAATCAAGCAAGATAGGAAGGTTCTCAATTATTTGAAATTCAAATTTGAATTTCAAAAACTTTTCTAATTTGCAAAACTCCAAATAAGGAAAGTCTTAAATTTCAATCCGATCTAATTTTAAATTAGAGATGGTCGTTTATTCTCTTTCATATTTGGCAAATCTTGTTTGAAAACTTCTTAAAATCCTCCCCATACCCCTCCTCCTCTCTTGATACCGCCGGCCTCCTCTCTTGCCCCACTCCATTATGATGATTTCAATCATCATAATTCCCCTCCTAAATTAACTCCAAGAGGAAAGGAAAGAATTAATTTTATTTGAAATTTGAAATTCAAATTTCAAATACTTTCCTTATTTGCAAATCTTAATTAGGAAAGTGCATAAAATCAATCCTATTTGAAATTCAAATTAGATTGGATTTCTTAATGTCTTTCCTAATTCCCATGAGTTGTTTTAGAAAATCTTAAATTCCTCCCCACAATCCTCCTCCCCCATTTAATGCCGCCGGCCACCCTTTATTGGGCTTTCTCCTTGTATTTTCCTCTTCGTGTCATACCCTCTTTGAATTTGAAATCAAAATTTCAAATTTAATTCCCTCCAAATCCACTTAAATCTGAATTAATTTTAGATTTACTAAAACTTCATCTCCCCTCCTCGGACCTAATGTAATTCCCCTCAACCAAGCCGCCCCCCTATCTCTTCCATTGCTCCACGGAACACCCATTTATCAAAAGCTAGGTTCAATTTTCCCCTGTTGTCCCAGAATTCCAGCATAAGGAAATCGGGATTCTTGCCGCCTAAAACCTCCAAAATGCAGGCTGCTCTTTTACAACCTGTTGTCCAACTGTTTAGGTCCAAACCCTTGCTATCCTAAGGAGTTTCCAAGGTCAAAAGCTGCTGTCCAAGGAAACTGGACTGCTGTCTACTGATTTCTGCAAGCTTCCCAGCACCGTATCTTTCATCCAAACGACTCTGACTGCTGTCCACCTCTTCCCTAGCATTCAAACGACCTTGCTGGAGTGCGTATCTCTCTTGTCTTTGGGTAAAATCGACACCCGACTCTCTATTTTCATAGTTGCATCCTTGATTGTGGTTTTATTACAATCATGAAGAACATGTTAATGCTCTTCCGCTAAAACCTAGTAAATTATAGAGTTGTGTGAGGGATCCTTCATCGTACTAATCTCATTGTGTCTAGGGATTTCTTGTTGAAACTTTCCATGTATGCAATGTTAGATGTTTTACGGTCTTAACTCCTATGCATGTGATTTAGCCTAAACTTGTTTTACCGCTCTTTGTATTTTAGCTTGTCGTTTAAATTTAATATAAAGGATATAATTATTGTGGCTCCTAAAATTAAGCGTGCAACTTTCTTAATCTAATCATCCTTGCATGTACGTTTCACATCATAGGTCCTAAAGAACACATATTAGTTATCATTTATAATATGAACGGTCTATAGTCATAGCTCAAATCTTACATATTTCTTTTCATTTATTATTGTTTTGCATTGGATGCTTATAGAGTGTGCAATAGCATGCAACAAGTAGAATTGATGAATGAAATGGACCACACAATATTGAGACTCATGCCGACAGTTAGTGTTGCATGATCTTTTGTGCATTCCATCAATAGTCATTAATGCTAAACGCTTATGAATATTATGCATTTCAAATACTGTGTGACATGGCTACTGAAAGTGATCCTTATAGCTTGTGCAACAAGCAATACGGTAATTCTTGTAAGACAATGTATACACAGATGCTTGTAAGGTGCATATTTGATGGTCAGTTTTGATAAATTTTAGAGGTCAATGTCATACATAACCACACTAGTTTAAAATAATTGTCATTGTTGGGGAAGTAAACCACGCAGCGAACACAACCAAGAAAGAGAAAATGCAGCGGAAAGAAAGAACATCAAGATTTAACATGGAAAAAATTCGAAACTGGGAAACACCCATAGAGTCACACCACACCAAGGAATTCACTATAAAAAGTTGGGAGAAATAGTACAGATCTCACTTCTTTCTCACTCTCTCCTTGTCTTTCTTCACTTTTGCATCATTCTCATACAAGCAACAAAGAGAACTCTTTAAAAAATCACTAAGGGACGCAACCCTTAATAAAAAACGAGAAAGAAAACTATCAACCCGCCTCACAGCGCTAAATTTGGAGCGCCGCTACGCTCAACTCTCTATCTCCTATGTGTCTGATAGCATCGTAGCGCCATGGTCTGGAGCACCTCAACGCTCCGCTCTATGTCTATCTCCAAGAAAACTATACAGCGCCGCAGCGCTCAGATACACAACACTGCATCACTCTTATACGAAAAAAAATCATGTGCAAAGCACCCGAACCCAAGCAGGGGGAGGACCCTCGGCGAGCTTGACTGGTGGAATTGAGGTCCGAGGCAGCAGTAAAGCATGATTGATCAGCACAATCAGAAGCATGATTGATCAACACAATCAAATTCCACACCGAACTAACAATCATTTCCTAATAGACCTACCCATATACCCACAACAAGTCCCAATAATTAAATTATCTTCCCATGAAGTATAACAAGCAAAATTAACCTTGCAAAGTCAAGAAATCATATCAATCATCCGTGAATATTGTAATCTTCCAAAATTTAATTCATAAACACAGTTGAGAATTGAAATAGGGAATTAGGATTTTTTTTTCAAATTAGAAGTTTTCTGCAGAGCAAGTGGATTTAATTATCTTAATGATAGGAAGAAATCCAGGTTTGCACCTTGACATCTGATGAAAAATTTGTTATGGCTCTATTAAAGCCTCCCTTCTTAAGCTGAAAATTCATCCACCTAAGCAAAATCTTCTCCGGTGGTAGAATCATGAGTTCCTCCATTTCCTGCATTCAAATGATTTTATAGCAATAAAATGATGCGACCCTTCCCCAATACTTGTAAATTAATTCAATTACCGGAGAACATATGGTTTACTTAAAAAGAGTTCAATGTCTTACCCTGCTATCTCCAACCAACTCCGCTAGCTGGGGAGTTTTCTTGAGGTTAACATCAGCTAAAAGTTGTATCTAAGGGAAGCAGTTCACAGAAAAATGAAAAACCATTAGCAGATAAATTTAAAGCACTAGGAACCAACAGGTGTAGTCTACAAGTTGACATTTGGTGGGTTTTCAATCAGGAAAGCATACCTTAATGATTTGAGATATCAAACCAAGCACAAGATGGGGCTGACAAGATAATATAAATGCACATCAATCATCAAAATAATTAAGATATCGGACAAAAAGTAAATTTAAGAAACCAAATGATATATAAATAAGTCGTGCCAGAAATGAAGGGCGTGGTGCAATGGTAAAGACCTATTGACATTTCTAAAAATAATAGTGACAGAACAGTGAATCTTATTAGAGTTAGTTTATTAAATAGTTTCCAATGGCAAAAAATACAAATCATATATCAACATTATGTCCCTATCCTTTTGTATTGGTAATTAAAATGTTACAAAAGATTTTTTAAATTAGGTGCATTGGTACATTATATTTGCATATGATATTTATTGATTTAGAAAAAGCATATGATAAAGTTCTAAGAGAAGTGCTATGGAGAGTTCTTGAAAAGAAATGAGTCAATAATGCTTATATTCAAATCATTAAAGATATGTATGCATGAGCTATTACTTGTGTTCAAACACAAGGTGGTTTGACCAAGTATTTCCCTATTTCGGTTGAGTTACATCAAGGATCAGCCTTAAGCCCATATCTTTTTGCTTTAGTCATGGATGTTCTCACTAGACATTTGCAAGAGGATGTACCTTGGTGTATGCTTTTTGCTGATGATATTCTTCTTGTTGATAAGACTAGAGCGGGAGTTGAAGGTAAACTTGAATTATGGAGGTCAACCTTAGAGTCTAAAGGTTTTCGCTTGAGACTTTTAATAGGACACAATGGAGAAAAAGGATTCATGTAGCCGACCCCACGTAGTGGGATAAATGCTTGATGTTGTTGTTGTTGTTGTTGCGGTACATTATATTTGCAGATGATATAGAGTTGATTGGTTCTTCATCCAATTTCTTTGTTTTTTCTATCTGGAGCTTGAACATAAATTCAACAAGCATGAAGAGTGAGGCATAGGTAGTTTAGAGTCTTCGCATTTTTCAATAACCTACTGGATTGTGGACTTCCTTATTGATCTTCTTCATTGCATTTTGCATTTCACTGAGAAGATTTGGACAAGTTTTCCCTTATTTGTTGTGTTTGAAGTTAGAGCCATTTCGGCATTGCTTTTCCTCCAACATTAGCATGGTTTGGTTGAAGACCTCCACCAAACACAAAGAATTCCTTCAAGTCATTTTAACAATTTTTTTTTTATTATTATTATTATTTTGAGACTGCAGTCTACTAGTATTTACTAATTATCTTGTAGTAACTTTTTCTTAAATTGTTTCTTTTTAAGTTGGCAGCATGTGAAGGACGTAACCGCCTTCAACGACTCCTTTTTGAGCTGCAAAAAGACATTATTTGAGAGCCTAAATTCCCCATCCAAGTCCTTTTTAAAACTAGTTCTTTTAGACATCAATCTTCAATAGGGTTGCAGGCTACCTGATGTTATGACTAGTAGCTAGGGTCATCAATTTTACCAGACTCCATGATTTGTCCAACTTCAGCAATTTTAGATCTTCCTTCAGTGATTGACGGAACAATTTTGATTTATTATCCCTTCAAAATAGTATTCTTCGCCTATTCATTCTTTAAGAGATTGAAATTGGGCCTAGCTACTAGTTGTTGGTTTGAGCCATTCACTATTACTAGAGACATGGGTCATATTTTGCTATATTCGGCATTCTTTTTTCAGAATCTCTTAATTTCATCATCTCTTTAGAGATGGATGCTTATTCTAATGCTGATTGGTTCAGCAATCCAATATACCACAAATCTATCACTAATGTCTATGAACTTCATAGATATTCTTATTTCCTGGAAGAATAAGAAATAAAGCATAATTTTTAGAAATTCCATGGAAGATGAGTGCATGCTATGACCTCTACTTACCACAGAGATAAATTGGTTTCGGTGGTTGCTTGTTAATATGGGTGTTGTTTTTTATTATCCTTCTCCTATGTATTGTAACTCTTAACTCAATTTTCATGAGAGAATTAAGTATATCGAGATTGATCGTAATCTCACTTGTCATCAGCTTTAGCTAGGCACTTATAGCTTGCCCTTGCTTCTTCTTCTCTGCAAATTGCAGACTTGTTTATGAAGTCTCATCTGCTTTCATGTTTTTGCTTCTTGGTAAGCAAAATCTCGTTGCTTCTTGCAACAGCATCATAAGTTTGTGGGAGGATATTAGAATTATGAGAAATTTACATGCATACTGCTTTATTTTATGATATTTACATACCTAACACCCAAAACATTAATATTATATGTCTAGCACTCATATACAACTTTAATATCAAATATATCACTCATGTAATTCATTTGTACAATTCATTCCATTCTATAAACTTTAATATTTCATTCCATACACCCAAATTTGTTCTATGGGTGGTAGGCATGTAATATTAATATTTTGGGTGTTAGATATGTAAATAACATGAAATAAAATGGTATGTATGTAAATCTCCCTAGAATTATTGAAATTATTTAATGTAAATATCAGTATATGTGCCTATTATCTCATTCACTGTGTATTACCCCAGGCCTCTTCGTAGAGATCAACAGAAAAATAAATAAATAAATAAGATTCAAATGTAGAAACTTATTAGCAATAGACCTTCAATGATAAACAAGAGAATAATCCATAAAACTGTCAAGCAATCCTGGAACCATTCACACATGGAAACTAAAAATCAATATCCAAACAAAGCCATCCACTTAAAGTGTCATACTTACCCTCCCCTCAACGAGATCTTGTGTTCCAATATTGACGACAGTGCACCCAATAGCTTTAGCGGAGTTGAGACATAATGTATGATTCTCGTTTCTCTCCCATGGGTTCAGCATTGCCTTGGTATTGATCGCCCGTTCATCAATGGTCCCCGGAACAGCCACATTGATAAGTTTGCTTCACATACATGCACAAACCCATGTGTATCACCTCATCTCATCAGAAAAATCAACGACGGAAAGAAGGAACAAACTTGAAAATAGCCAAAAAAAAATTAGATTAATTACCATAGAAGCACGCCATCCTTGGAGATCTCAAAGAGATCTTCTGTTAGAGGATCAATAGGGATATGCCTCTTCAAAAAATCATCACCACAGAGATAACTGTTGATGTGGCCAACGTAAGAAGCCTTTTCCGATTCGCTAATGGTGTGGAGCAGAGTGGTCGTCGCCGCCTTGAGGAACTCGGAAGACGAATTCTTCCTCCCGATATGCCCTTCCATCTTCAAATAAGCCTTCGCAAACCCCACACGACATACCATTAATAGAATAGTACAAGCAAATAAATCAGGCTGATTGAACTAACCCGGAGAAAAGCCTCGAAATCGACATGGACGTCAAGGTTAGGAAACAAGTGGCGAAGGAACGAATCTTTCTCCTCGTCGGCAAGGCCGTCGCCAGCAATCTTCATCCTCGACATCTCAGCTGCAAGGTCCCGGACCATAATCGAGCTTCCGTTGCCGCCAGGACCCCTCATCGCCATGAACTGAAAAACGATTCCACTCAATGCAGAATAGGACTAGGAGCAGAAAAGCAAGCGGGCCTGCAGAGAGCTAAGACTTCACCTTGGACTTGAGCGAGCGAAGCTCCACCTGAGTGAACTGGTTCTGAAGCCAGGGATCCGACACCAGAATCCCTACAAATCCAGCCATTGCTCGATTCCCCGACTCCCCTATGGTGGCGAAGACAGCTAGCAGAGAGAAATGAGTGGGGCTGAGCTCGGTCTGAGACTCTGAGCTACCGGAGAACAGAGTAAAGGAAGGAGGGGGTGTAACGGAAAGCAGCAAAGGCGTACGGTGCCCACGAGGAAGAAACCACCGTTAAAGATTCAAATTGAATATATAATAGACTCGACGGGAAACGAATTAGGAAACGAATTGGGAAACGCCGGAATGTCAATGAAGAGCTACCCTCTGAGGCCTGAGGGAAAGTATCTATCTCGTCATTGTAACTAAAATGAATATGATGGAGTTAAAACATATTTTTAAATTTCTAATAATTTAAATTTTTTTATATTTATGTAAAATTTTTCAAATTTTTTAATAAATAATTAATAAACTTTAGGAGAACATAATTTTTTTTATTTGAAAAAAAATTATTGATCAATTTTATTAATATTTATGTGACATAAATTTTTTGAATGTAATATTTGATAAATTTTAGAATATGTTTTAGTTAGGTTTCGTTTGGGACGGTTTTTTTGTTACTTCTTAAAATAGTTTTTTAGTAAAAAAAAATTTACTTTTTGTAATAAAAAGTTGTTTTAAGAATCAATAAAAAAGCCCCCCAAACGAAGCCTTAGTCTTCTATTCAATGAACCATGGAGATTTAAGAATTCAGATTTTGAGTCTTTTTAGTTGTATTCAGCATCTGTTTGATTGTATGAAAATATAATGTATAGTAAAATAGAATATACTATAAAATGAATGTAATGTATTTGAAATATTCAGAATTATTTGGATGAATTTGAAGTGAAATACATGCAATATAAAATCTAACGATGGTAGTGACAAGTGGGCAGTGGCAGGAGCCCTAGCGTCGTCAGCCAATGGCGAATGACGGTAGCGATGATGGGCAAAGACAAGAGTTTGTGGCGAGAATTTATAACATATTTGAAAATTTGTCAGAAGTAACGATTTCTAAATATGTCAAGATTAAGGCTTCGTTTGGGACGGCTTTTTTATTGCTTCTTAAAATAATTTTCTCGTTAAAAAATCAAAAATTTTATACTAGAAAAGTGTTTTAAGAAACAGTAATGAAGCCGTCCCAAACAAAGCCTAAATTAGATGATGAATTCGAAATATCTTAAAATTTCTTTTACTTTGAATCACCCCCTTTTATTTCAAACTAAAGAGACCTTTACTTAAAAATAATGTTCTTAGGCTTGAGAAAACAATAACAATCCCATCATATAAAAAATATTATTTTGATCAATCAGAAAATGTATTTATTTAGTTATTTATTTTTTACCAATTATTTTAAAGTAGAAAGATTTTTTAGTAATGAATGGACTCCTTCAGCTGAAATTTGGAAATATGAGGGGTTTAAATGCTAATTGTGTGTTTCACTTTCAATCCGGTGGGAAAGCTACAAGTGAGGGAGGGCATGTTTGCTAAAATGGGATTAATGAAGCCCACTTTGCGTCACCTCTTCATTATTTCTTTGTGAGTGGTGGGGGAGAGGGGACAAAAGGTGAGAAGTATTTGTTGATTAGTAGCACTCTTTATACAACTTGTATGAAAGAGATTTAGAGTTAGGGTTATATGTATAATTAAAGAATTTATAATTGGATTTTATAATTTGTGTGTGTATGGGTTCAAAGTCTTTATAAGCATAAAAAGTTATTTAAATGTGTAATATTAATATTTTAAATTATCTTCACTTTAATAGAATTAGTAAATGAGAGAGTGTTCAAGTAGATGCCTTGTTATAAGATATTGTGAAAAAGAAAATCGTATGAATGGCATAGAAGTCATCCAAGAAACGGATAGTTTTCGAATAGATTCGGTAGCTAAATTTGGTTATTCACTGCAAAAGAAGAGCATAAAAGTCATCCAAACTAATGGGATTTAAATTGGTTCTAATTGCATTTTTAAATGAATGAGGATCCTGATGAGCCAATATCATCAACTTTACTCTAGATTTTCAGAAAGATATTGCATCATGAACTTATCTTTCATATAAATGTGGTTCAATACATTTTTTGGTTGAATGATGCATGAGCAGCTTGTGGGTTCCAAACGAGGTTCAATAGTCTGACATATCTCCAAACAAGAATCAAGATTGAGAACATATGGGTGAAACGTTGAAGAGATTGTGGAATACAGCATGGGTGCGAGGTTATGATTAATTAATAACCATGTATAGTATTCAGAATTTGAAACAATATATGTGGCAGTAGACAGAAGTTTAGGGGGTTTAGGTGTGGAACCATCTAAATAGCCATCAAAATCATTTGCAGTAAATAATTTCATAATATGAGATTTCCAAAGAGGATAGTTATCGGCAGTAAGTTGAATGTTAAGAACAGATTTGACATTAGTCATCAAGAACTTGAGCTGTGAGGGGATATGGATATTCGCTATTTTGACGACATGTAAAGCTTGAGAGGAGGTAGAAGATTGTGAAGGGTAATCCATGAAATGAGATAGAAAGAAAGAAAAGAGTATAGCGGCAAATCAACAGTAGTAATGGATTTCAGGCAACAGTAGCTCTGATACCATGTTGAATTGTATTGCTTTGCCTTGATTCCTGCAACTGTGAACATTTAATGCAAACATTGAAATGCAGAGCAAAGGAAGAAGAAGGAAAACATAAACAGAGAATGTCATTCTCATTTCATTATTACTCCTCACGTCTTACTGGTCATACAGTAATATAAAGACAATACATAAAATGACTTTAACGATTTGGATTAAAGCGTTACAAACGGGTGATGATAAAGCATTGGTCAGGAATTAGGAAGAAGTGCTTTGTTGCATAGAGGTAGTGGATATGTGAGAATAATCATAGCTTGATAAGTTGTCTTGCTTATCACTCCCCTCCAGTATTTGTTGCTTTACAGACTGCAATCAACGCCCTCGTCGATTCGACTCTTATAATGTTAGTTGGAAGCTATTCGCTTTGTAGATATTGTAATATATGCATGAGGAACCAGGCTTTCATAAGACCCATTCTTCTAAATTGTAGAGCTTCTTCGGCCAACCATTGTGACTAAGAATAAATAAGAAATTATATTTTTGTTATAAAATAATATAATTAATGGATAAATGGATAATAGATGTCGAGATAAATCAATCGTTGTCAAGAAATTGGGATGGCAAAGGTTACCAAATCATTGTCAAAGAATAATGCTACCCAAAATAAATTAAAAATAAGATACAATTTTCAAAATGTATTTCATCTTATTATGATCTTACTTCTTATTATGTTCATGAAGCTACAATGCGATTCTTCCCCTTCTCATGCATTTATTGTGATTTGACTATTGGACTTTCATGCATGGTTTAGAGAAGTCGAAACCATGCATACTTGAGATTTTTATTTATTTATTTGCTTGAAACTTGCATGTTTTGGCTTTAATGCTTAACTTTGACTTATTAACCAACATTAAGCTTATATGGCCCACCTACTATATAGGAGAGAATTCACGAGGCTCAAAAAATTGATGAGGAATATGAAAAATTGATTGATCAAGTTATGTCATGAAAGAAAGAAGAGTTGTAAGTGAATGATAATATAATGTTAACTTGTAAAGGTTAACTATGGGTTTCTAATTATTTGTGATTAATAAAAAAAAAATTCTACATGAGGCTTGTTATTTTAATTATAATATATACCTTATTATGTATTATGATTTAAAGTTGATGTTTTGGTGGCTAATATGAAAGAGAAAATTTGGGACTTTGTGTCTAAGTAGGGTCATCAAAACCGGGTTCAAGTCAAACTCAACATTATTCGACCGACCTGAACCCAACCCATTTTTTAAAATGGGTTAGTTTTTCGAGCCCAAACCCGATATGCTTCGGGTTCGAGTAAACCTGACCTAACCCGTAAGTCATTTTGTGCACTTCTTATTCAACCAAATCCCATAAGGCAGCAGCGCGACAGTGGCAGCCGACGACGCGTGGCAGCGATGCGGGCAGACACGACAACGAAGAGACACGCGACTCGATGCGAGACAAGTAGACGTGACTCGATGTGATGCACACAGACGCGGGCATGTGCGAGCATATGCGTTTTTGCTAGGTCATTCCCTTGTTTCCGGGTCAACTTGAACCCGACCCGATTTTTGAAACGTGTCGGTTTGTTGAACCGGACCCATTTCACAAATGGGTTGACCCTAACCCGGTATTTCGAGTAGGGTTCAAATCGGGTTTTCGGGTCGTGTCAAATATTTATACGCCTATGTCTAGGTCTGACACTTGTTTGATATTGAGAGTGGAGCCTGAACAACTTGGTAGTCAATTGCAATCTTTGCCTATTATTGAGGGGAAATGATAAGAGATTATCATGGATTTTATTATGAAATTTCGCATATTAAGATGAGGTCATTTAGGCCATTTAAGGCATTGATCAAGTTATGTCATGAAAGAAAGAAGAGTTGTAAGTGAATGATAATATAATGTTAACTTGTAAAGGTTAACTATGGGTTTATAATTATTTTTTATTAATAAAAAAGATTCTACATGAGGCTTGTTATTTTAATTTTAATATATACCTTATTATGTATTATGATTTAAAGTTTATGTTTTGGTGGCTAATATAAAAGAGACAATTTGTTGACTTTGTGTCTAAGTAGGGTCGTCGAAATCATGTCACGGGTCGGGTTCAGGTCCAACCAGCATTATTCGATCCGACCCAGTATTATTCGACCCGACACGAATCCGACCCATTTTTTGAAGACAGATCAATTTTTCGGATCCGAACCCAACGTGCTTTGGGTCCAGGTCAACCTGACCCGTAAGTCTAATGTTGGCCCTCCATTCGCGTGCTTATTCAATCAAATCCCATAAAGCAATAGTGGGCAGTGGCAATGGCAAGGCAGCGGGCGATGCATGACAGCGATGCGGGCAGACGTGACTTAATGCAACTCCGGCAGACGTAGGAAGTGCGTTTTTTTCTAGGTCATTCCCGGGTTTCCGGGTCAACCCGAACCCAATCCGATTTTTGAAAAGGGTCGATTTGTTCAACTTGAACCCGACTCACTTCATAAACGGGTTAACCCTAACACGAAATTTTTCGGTTCAGGTTCGAGTCGGTTTTCAGGTTGTGTCAAATATTTACACCCCTATGTCTAAGTGTGACGCTTGTTCGATATTGAAAGTGGAGCCTGAACAACTAGTTGGTCAATTGCAGTATTTCCCTATTATTAATTGGAAATGAGA